ATATAATATGGCCTGTCCCGTGTGGGCATTTGGAGTGCGAGCGTAATCTTGCAAAGCCGTGCCGTATTGTTTGATGGGTGCCATATTATTTGAAAGGGGCATGACTACTTTATGAGGGTGCAGGACTATGGTAAGGGTGCAAGACTATTTTAAGGGTGCAGCACTATTTTAAAGGTGCAGCTGCATTTAAAGGGTGCAGCACTATTTTAAGGGTGCAGCACTTTTTTAAGGGTGCAGCACTATTTTAAGGATGCAGCACTATTTTAAGGGTGCAGCACTGTTTTAAAAGTGCCAGACTATTTTAAGGGCGCATGACTATTTAAAGGGCGCGCGAAAATCTTAAGGCTGCAGGACTAAATTAAGCAGCCATACTAAAAATAGGCTGGATGAGACCTCCAGGCACGAGAACCCTGTGCCCAGGGGACCCAGGAGGCTCGGTGGGGGTCCCGGCGAGGGTCAGGCGTGGTGGGGGTCCCGGCGAGGATTTTGCTGAGTGGGGGGTCCTTGAAACCCACGAGAACCCTGTGCCCAGGGGACCCAGCTCGGTGGGGGTCCCGGCGAGGGTCAGGCGTGGTGGGGGTCCCGGCGAGGATTTTGCTGAGTGGGGGGTCCTTCAAACCCACGAGAAACCTGTGCCCAGGGGGCCCAGGAAGCTCGGTGGGGGTCCCGGCGAGGGTCAGGCGTGGTGGGGGTCCCGGCGAGGATTTTGCTGAGTGGGGGGTTCTTCAAACCCACGAGAACCTTGTGCCCAGGGGACCCAGGAGGCTCGGTGGGGGTCCCGGCGAGGGTCAGGCGTGGTGGGGGTCCCGGCGAAGATTTTGCTGAGTGGGGGGTCCTTGAGGCGAAGATTTTGCTGAGTGGGGGGTCCTTCAAACCCACGAGAACCCTGTGCCCAGGGGACCCAGGAGGCTCGGTGGGGGTCCCGGCGAGGGTCAGGCGTGGTGGGGGTCCCGGCGAGGATTTAGCTAAGTGGGACCCACGAGAACCCTGTGCCCAAAGGGACCCAGGAGGCTCCGTGGGGTCCGGCGAGGGTACGGCCGGTGTGGGGGTCCCGGCGAGGATTTTGCTGAGTGGGGGTCCTTCAAAAAACCACGAAAACCTCCCTGTGCGAGGGACCCAGGAGGCTCGGTGGGGGTTTTGTTTTTTTTTTTTTCCCCGGCGAGGGGCAGGCGTGGTGGTGGTCCCGTGGCGAAGATTGTGCTGAGTGGGGGTCCTTTCAACCGCACGAGAACCCTGTGCCCAGGGGACCCAGGAGGCTCGGTGGGGTCCCTGCGAGGTTCAAGGCGTGGTGGGGTCCCGGCGAGGATTTAGCTAAGTGGGACCCACGAGAACCCTGTGCCCAGGGGACCCAGGAGGCTCGGTGGGGGTCCCGGCGAGGGTCAGGCGTGGTGGGGGTCCCGGCGAGGATTTAGCTAAGTGGGACCCACGAGAACCCTGTGCCCAAAGGGACCCAGGAGGCTCGGTGGGGGTCCCGGCGAGGGTCAGGCGTGGTGGGGGTCCCGGCGAGGATTTTGCTGAGTGGGGGGTCCTTCAAACCCACGAGAAGCCTGCGCCCAGGGGACCCAGGAGGCTCGGTGGGGGTCCCGGCGAGGGTCAGGCGTGGTGGAGGTCCCGGCGAGGATTTTGCTGAGTGGGGGGTCCTTCAAACCCACGAGAACCCTGTGCCCAGGGGACCCAGGAGCTCGTGGGGGTCCCGGCGAGGGGTCAGGCGTTGGGGGGGTCCTGTCGAGGATTTTGCTGGGAGTGGGAGGTCCTTCAAACCCACGAGAACCTGGCGGGACCCAGGAGGCTCGTGTGCCTTGCTGCCGCCTAGTTCGTGTGTGGGTCCGGCGAGGATTTTGCTGAGTGGGGGGTCCTTCAAACCCACGAGAACCCTGTGCCCAGGGGACCCAGGAGGCTCGGTGGGGGTCCCGGCGAGGGTCTGGCGTGGTGGGGGTCCCGGCGAGGATTTTGCTGAGTGGGGCGTCCTTCAAATCCACGAGAACCTTGTGCCCAGGGGACCCAGGGGGCTCGGTGGGGGTCACGGCGAGGGTGAGGCGTGGTGGGGGTCCCGGCGAAGATTTTGCTGAGTGGGGGGTCCTTCAAACCCACGAGAACCCCGTGCCCAGGGGACCCAGGAGGCTCGGCGGGGGTCCCGGCGAGGGTCAGGCGTGGTGGGGGTCCCGGCGAGGATTTTGCTGAGTGGGGGGGTCCTTCAAACCCACGAGAACCCTGTGCCCAGGTAGCCCAGGAGGCTCGGTGGGGGTCCCGGCGAGGGTCAGGCGTGGTGGGGGTCCCGGCGAGGATTTTGCTGAGTGGGGGGTCCTTCAAACCCACGAGAACCCTGTGCACAGGGGAACCAGGAGGCTCGGTGGGGTCCCACGGCCAGGTCAGGCGTGGGCTCGGTGGGGGTTCCCCGGCGAGGGTCAGGCGTGGTGGGGGTCCCGGCGAAGATTTTGCTGAGTGGGGGGTCCTTCAAACCCACGAGAACCCTGTGCCCAGGGGACCCAGGAGGCTCGGTGGGGGTCCCGGCGAGGGTCAGGCGTGGTGGGGTATTTGGCGAGGATTTTGCTGAGTGGGGGGTCCTTCAAACCCACGAGAACCTTGTGCCCAGGGGGCCCAGGAGGCTCGGTGAGGGTCCCGGCGAGGGTCAGGCGTGGTGGGGGTCCCGGCGAGGATTTTGCTGAGTGGGGGGTCCTTCAAACCCACGAAAACCTTGTGCCCAGGGGACCCAGGGGGCTCGGTGAGGGTCCCGGCGAGGGTCAGGCGTGGCGGGGGTCCCGGCGAGGATTTTGCTGAGTGGGGGTTCCGTAAAACCTACGAAAACTCTATGTGCCCAGAGGCCTCAGGAGGCTCGGTGGGGGTCCCGGCGAGGGTGAGGGGGGGGGGTGCCGGCGGCGTGCTCACAGGGCGGGTGGCCCCTTAAAAACCTCAGCCCAAGAGAGCTTCGAGAGCCTTCCAAAAAGAGCCCGAAGAGGCTCAACTCGGCGATGGTTTTTGTTTGTTTCAACTTTGCCGCTTCCTCGCGTTGTCCCGCTTCCAACGCTCAAAGACCGAGGAGCCTTTTATCCCCAAATGAATTCCAGTGAGTCTTTTTTCTTGAGTTAAACAGATACGCCCGCCCCCCCCTCTCGCGGGTCCAACACCTCCCTGGAGCATTTGCAGAACGCTCCCAGTACTGCGAGGTCCAGCCCTGGGGGGCTCCCAAAACACCCAAGGGCAGCCCAAGACGACCCCAACAAGCTTCCAGAACGTTCAAGAACGGCCCAAGACGCTCCCGAGCAACCCAAGACAGCCTTCGGTCGGCTCTTCAGATTCCCAGAGCCTCCAAGAGACATGCCGAGGAACTTGAAACACATTTGGAATTATGTTGTTTTAAGTTGGGACTCCTCCCTACCCTCTTCCTCCAGCCCCATCAAGATTTCGGGGCCACACGCAAATATTGTTCGGGAGAGCTGTTAAACTCTCTGACGCTGTCTTGGCACTCTGTTGGATCGTCTTCGTGTCCTCTTGGCTGCCCCTGAAACCACCGTAGAAGTTGAGATCACATGATCCCGTGAGTTGGAAAAAACAGAATGTGTCTGATTTTTTGTTTCAAAATCACCCGCCTGATTTTTTGGCACGAAGACCACGAGAGGAATCCGAACAGACCGTGGCTTGCATCCAGACAAATTTTAACCCACAACCCAGACACGGCAACTTGAAAACAACAGGAATTGTACAATTATTTTTTTGTCAGTTCGCCCCCCCTGGCTACCCGTGCACAGCAGACCATATTGAGGCCCCCCTCAGCTTCCAGAAAAGAACCCAGGAAGGTTTTGAGGACCCCAAATCGTTGAAACCTAACTGGAACTAATCAGTTTTGTGCGTTTCCGCAGTTCCCGTTTTGTACGATTCCGAGGCTTGCGCAGGCCTCCAAGAGAGTCCCTGGATGCAAGAAACAACAAACATTAGATTCCATGAGTTAGCCCATCAAGCATAGCTAGACCTTGAGCGCTCGCGAAGCGCGCGATGGTTTCTTATTTGAATATATGTGTACATAAATGTAGGTATACATATATCTATGTGTATATATATATATATATATCTATATATATATTATATATATCAGATATATCAGAGAGAGAGAAAGAGACTATTCATGTATTCCCAGTTATATATTTTTGCAGGGCTGGAAACGCGGACCCCCCCCCTAACGAATTTGGCCCTCCCCAAGCCTCCAGGCAACGCCCCAATCGACCCTGGAGAACGTCACGAGAGCCCGAAGACGGCCCCAGACGGGTTCCAGGCGTTCCGGCGCGCTCCCGAGACGACCCCAAAGAGCCCCAATATGGTCCACGACGACCCCCAAGAAGCCGTCACACCCCCAAAGATCCTTCCCAAACGTCCCAAGAGGCCTTCAAGAGCACTCCCAAGAGGGCCTCCAGAGGCAAAATTAGTAGATTTTCTTTCGGTTTTTGGTGAATTTTGGGGTTCTCCTCTTTTCGGCTTCCCGACGCTCCAAGACGGCGGTCTTCCAGGCGTCCGAGACCGCCTGGGAGGCTCCAAAATCGCGCCACAACCTTCCGAAAGGGTATCCAGGCAGTCCAAGCGAAAGGGAGCCCCCAAACAACACAACCGGGGTCCAAGATGGCCCCAATAGAGCCCCATGGCGGCCCAAGATGGCCCCAATACACCCGAAACACTTCCAAATCGTGACCCAGTCGCTCAGGGAGAGCGCGGTTGGAGGCGGGGGGGCCCGAGGGAGCCCCCAGAGCCCCCCAGAGCACGCCCACGAGGCCTCCAGACGGCCTTAAGAAAGGCTGAACAACTTTGTGAGGCCCCCAGAGGCTCTGCAAGGAGGAGCCTCCGCAAAAAGAGCTGAGGAGAAGGATGGGGGACAAGAGGTGAGGAAACACAGTGCTGAGGAATACATATTCAATTATGTGCATATATATATATATATATATATATGTATGTGTGTATATGTGTATATGTGTGTATATAAATGCATCAAACATGTATTATGCGAGCGATCTTGGGAGGCTCGCGAGCTGCAGGACTCGCAGGGCACCGATGGATGGACAAGGCTTTGGTGGAGCTGATTAGTTATTCTTCTGGCTCGAGGGGAACAAGGAGCGACGACTAAGATGGGAAGGCGGACGGGGATCTGGAAGCATTAGCGGGACAGCAGCAATTACACATGGCAACAGAAGGATGGAAGTGACGACGAGTGAAGGGCAGCGGAAGGAGAGAGGATGGCGAGGTCTGGCTCTGGGTGGGACCTCATTACGCCCTCCCTCGCGCAGCCTTCGAAAGTGGCGACAGCTTCGCAGATAGCAGCCCCCCAGGGGTGGCGAGGTTTAATCAGAGTCTGAATAGGGCCCCCGTGCGCTGCCCCCCTCCCCCTAGCAGCCTTTGACATTGGCGACGCCTTCGCAGATCGCAAGCCCCCCCCCCCCCCCCGAATCGGACCTCGCGATGCTGGTCCCCCAGCAGCCTTCGAACGCGGCGGCAATTTCGAAGATCGCAGCCCCCCCCGTCAGGGATGGCGAGGTCGAAGATGAATCTGGGTCGGGCCCCACAATGCTGGCCCCCCAGCAGCCCTCGAAATTGGCGACGGTTTCGCAAATCGCAGCCCCAATGGAATGAGAGATGCAATATGGGTTTGTACAGGGCCCCGAAACATGGAGTAGAGCATCTCCTCTTCCTCCTCCTCCTCCTCCTCCTCCCCCCGCCTCTTCCTCCTCATCCTCCTCCTTCTCGTCCTCCTCCTCCTCCTCCTCCTCCCCCAAACGTCGTCGTCGTCGCCGTCGTCATCATCGTTGTCGTCGTCGTCGTCCTGTCCTCCCCCTCCTCGTCCTCGAGGCGTCATCGGGAGTCGTGGGGGTTCAGGGGGCTCGACTCCTGAGGTAGTTGTCGGCCTCCGTTGGCATTGCCTGGGACAAGATAAGCCAAGGCTGTATTCTTTCGACGCGGAGAACATGGTGTTCATCTCCGAGTTCCTGGGTTCTCACCAACTTCTGCAGGAGAGCCTGTTTGCCGGCGTGGTGAGCCAGGAGATCGCTGGCAAGCTGGGGGAGTTCATGGGGCTCCTGCACTCGCGCACCCACAGGAGACAGTTCTTTTCTTTGCCCGGCGACAACCTCGGTTATCCGACCCGCCAGCACCCCTCCCCCGAGCCCCCCCTCCGATGACCTGAGCCTGTCGGGTGCGCAGGTCCTAGGAGGGGGTGCGCAGTGCTGGTGAGCGCGGGCACGCGTGGGGCTGTCCCAAGCGAAAACTGTTCTGCCATCGGCCGGCACCTCCCCCCCCCTCCTGCCCCCCGCCTTTGGTACTCCAGATTTCGTAATAAAAGGGAGGGGGTCTCAACCCTCCCAGACGAGAAGTTTTAGACCCCTCCCGTGGGAGAACCCTCCAAAACATCGTCCCTAGACCCCCCCAGGCCCTCCAAGATAGCCTGGAAGAGACCCCCCCCGAAATGAGACCCCCTCCCCTTATTACGAAATCTGGAGTAATCTGGGTTTCGACGCGCGCGTTCCACTGCTCGCAGAGTAACTGCTCGCAAATGGCCTGGGTCCCCCGCCGGGGATCTACGCCAGATTACATCCGAGCAGACGGGTGTTTTTCGCACGTTGGCGAGCAGTCACTCTGCGAGTAGGGGAGCGCGCTCGGCGAGGGTCACCGCCGAAACACGGACACGAGCTCTCCAGCAGCCGCGTGTCCTCCGCCGAGGCCGCAGAGCTCGCGGCCGACTTCTCGAACGACGCACTCCGGGCCATCCAGCTGGAGTACGTGTTCTCGAAGTGCTTCCGCGAGGACGACCGGGCGGCAGACCTGCGCGCGGACGCGGCCTTCATGGGTGCTCTGGAGGAGCAGTGGTCGACCAACATGCTGTGCTGGTACTCTCGTGGACGGTTGTCGTTTCTCCAGTGCCACGACTTCGGATTTGCGTCAAACCGTTCTTTGGGTTGATCGGTCGGCTCGTTCTCGGTTCAACACGCCTCGACTGTAGAGCGCTGTCTTGGCTGACCCCGCCTGTCACCACCCACCAAACCACCCCAACCCAACCCGAAGGCGTCAAACGGACCTCCATCTCCAGTGGGGGGGGGGTCGGGGAACCTCGAGAAAGCACATGTGGAGCCCGTACCCCCCCACCACCCGAAATTCGGGTCTCTTCGGGTTGGGTTGGGGTGGTCTGGTAGGCAGTCCACCCGGAGGAGCTCAAGGGCGCCTACCGTGGCCAGCATTTGGACGACCTGGCCCTGCTCCACGGCGACCTGCACGCCGGCAGCGTCATGGCCGACACGGCGGCCGGCGGCGTCAAGGCCATCGCACGGCAGGATTTGTACACGTCCACCGCCCTTGGTCGAAGACCGATTTCTGACCACACCCACCTCTGGATCCTCGATTCTACGGTGGGCCATCGGGGGTGGGAGTGGGTAGTTTTTCCTTCCCCTGGGGCAGGGAAACTGCCCACCTCCACCTGTGGAAACCGTTTTTCGCAAGGCACCTCGGGAAGTGGGTGTGGTCAGAAATCGGTCTCCTACTTGGCCAGGCCAATTCTGGGTCCAGTCGCGATGTGCTTGGCATGTGGCCAATGATCGAAGAGCACCCACGACTTCAGAAACATGAATTGTTCTGGAGGTCCGCGTGGATTTCTTGGATCGGCGCTGGGCCCCCCCGGCGGCGCCTCTGGCGCCGCCCCTGGCCTCCTCAGCCTCTTCTTGGGCCTGTTCATGCCTGCCTGAATGCAGCTTTGTCCGTGCTGCGTTCTCCGCAGCGGCACGAAGCATCTCCCACCCAGTTGACGGGATTGCGTGTCCCATACGCCTGCTCCTGTCAGAAGACAGTCTCATACATACGGGCCGCATCGTACCGTATCGTACGGTATTGTGTGGTCGTCCCGTGGCTTTCCAGCGGTTGATATTTGTTTCCTTCGGGGTTGTCACGTTGTTGTTCGCGATTGTCCAGAGGGTGTCCCGTGGTTGTCCAGTTGTTGTCCGATAGTTGTCATGTGGTTGTCCCGTAGTTTGTCCTTTGGTATTCCCGTGGATGTCACGTGGTTGTCAATGGTTTGTCTCGTGGTTATCCCGTGGTTATTTCGTGTTCGTACCAAGACCGCCCCGTATAGAGAGTGAGGCAAGTACCTTCGGGCCCTCTGAGAAGCTGCCTTCGGGCCCTCTGAGAAGCTGCCTTCGACTTCGGGGCAGGCTCAGGGCTCTGCTCAGAAGGTGCGGGAGGCCTTCTGAGCTCCTTGCGGATGCCCGTTGCCCTCTGCCTTCCCCCCGGAAGCCCTGGGCGAAACACACGTCGTCCGTGTCCGCGGCCTCGCGAGCCTGGCCTCGTGGGGCCGCCACCCCGCGGACACGTGGCGCGTTGTTCGCGGAGGCCCCTCGCAGAACCCTTGCGTGCGGCGCGTCGCCGCGGTGCCCCCCTCTCGGAAGCCAGACCGCGAAGGCGCGGGTACAGTCAAGACGCTGAAATAGGGAACAGTGTGGAGTCGGAAGGGCCTCGATGTTCCTTAGGTTCCTCCAGTGTTGTTCCTCTTGCCCTCCTGGGGCACGGAGGCGCTTACAGGGCCAAGGTAGGGGTTTTGTTCCATATTTAGCGTTCCTTCTTTCAGCGGCCCGACTGTACGGATAGATGTTATGATGTTGTCGCCGCTCGTGTCCTACTCCTATCTTTGATCCCCCAATCAGCGCTCGCACTGAAGGGGGTCCTCGCGGAGGTTGGAAGATTTGGCGAAAGTTCCAGGTCGATTTCGGTAGGCCGCTGGGTTTCCGAGTTCCCGATTCCGGGTTCGTAGGTTTCCGGTTGCTGGTTCCGGGCCGATTTCGTTGGGCGGCGGGGTTCCCGGGTTTGATTGTCCCGGGTTCTTAGTCAATATTTTTATCGATCGGTCTCAGTATCGATGTTATTGCCATCCTCTTTGTCGATCTCACAATCGATTTCACAATCGATGTCAGTATCGATCGCACAGTCACCGTCACTATAGATCGCACGAGCGACCTCACGATCGATCTCAGATTGGACCTTGTTGAACCGACTTCACAACCGGTCTCACGATCGACTTACCATCGTCTACAGTATCAATCCCGCTATTGATCCCACTGTCGATCTTCACAATCTATCCAAATAGCCATAACACTAATTTTAATAATATCCACTGATTGGGGTGTTTCTCTGCTGTCGTATTTCGCTTACTTTGTTCCGTGGGGCAGTTGTTGTCGACGCCACCGCCAACTCAATGAATCCGAAAAGTAGGTTGAGAGCTATTTGTTTGCCAGCCCCTTGCCAAATCTCGATAGCACACCGAATGCACTTGATTCACAAGCGGCGCCGCCGCCACAGATATCACCACCTTTCACACGTTGCATCGAAGGCATTTGAGGAGGGGCCGTCGCAAGAACTAGACAGTACGGGTGAGTGAAGAACTAGACAGTACGGGTGTGTGCAGGTAGACGTCACAGCCCGTATCTGGGTAGTCGAAGGCCAGACTGTCAGATTGGATTGGGCCCCAAGGGCCAATCTGGCCCGGCCAAACTGGATCATTTGGGTTATTCGCCAGACTGGATTCACGTTGGCTCCCTCGCCAGATTGCCCCCGTTTGCCAGATTGGGCCTGCCAGATTGGCCCCAGGTTGGCTTCGACTACCCAGCGTGTATCTCGCTCTCACCCCGTTCTGCAGCGAGGGCGGAGCGAAGGCAGAGCGAGCGAGCGTGAAGACAGCACGGCCACGACGGGCACTCTGGAGGTCGAGGGCCCCGCGTTTGGCAGTTGGCAGTCGTGGCGCTGCACTGAGGACCACTTTTGGCTCACGAGGGGCCTGGGCTTTTCCGTAGGGCCGCTCCTTGGGGTTTCGATCGGGCCTGTCCCTCTACAGGCGGAATGTTCAAAAGTTGTCCAACAACAGTCAGGGGACGACTTTTTATAATTTTTGCATGTTTTGGGTGCATGTCTCGAGTTCGTTTTTTCTCGGGGCTGGACAGAACCCCCAACAGTGACACGTCGATTAGTGAATTGTCCGTTTTCGGTTCTCGAGAGGGCGCCGTGGCCGTCATTTTCCAGGCTTGCGCCCGCCAGATTTGGGCCTCAGGTCGTTTTCACTAAACCACGTTTTGCTAAAGGGGGGTCTGCCCATCCCCGATTTTCTTCGTTCGCCCAGAATCCCCCTGCAGGGGGGACACGCCCGACCGAGTCCTTGGGATCGAGGTCGGGGAGCCCTGCTCGTGGCCGAGGCCCGCCGAGGTCGGGGAGAGCCCCCCCTTCGGCTCCCTCCCGGCCTGGCGCTCCTGCGGGCAGCTCCACGGCGGTGCGGGTGCCGGGGGCTCTTTTAGTCACCATCCACCAAACCACCCCAACCCAACCCGAAGGCCCAAAATTATCCTCGATTTCCAGTGGGGGGGGTCGGGGAACGTTGAAAAAACACGTGGTATCCGTACCCCCCCCAACCCGAAATTCGGGTCAAATTCGGGTCTTCGGGTTGGGTTGGGGTGGTCTGGTAGGTAGTTATTTAGGTCGGGCGTGTCCCCCCTTGCAGGCGGATTTTGGGGCACAAACATAATATTCAGAACATGCCCCCAAAGAGTCGCGCAGATAATGATAAACAGCAATCGTCCCCAGACTCTTTTTTTACCATGTTTGAACATGCCTCCTGTAGAGAGGCACGCCCGACTTAACCGTAGGCGCGCTAGCGGTGTGTTAGCTAACGGCGACGTAGGAGAGCCAATTGTAGGAAGGCGTGGTTCGTGGCCAAACCAATCGTAGGAACGCGTGGTTCGTGCTATCCGACATCTCGCTGTGCCGTCTTCGTTTGCTACGCTCGCATATTCGACATGCAGGAAACGGTGTGCTGTGATCTCCTGCATCTTTGTGCTGCGTGGGCTTGGGGTCACAAAAAACAATATTCCCGACCACACCGTTGTCCAAGCACGCCGTCAGCGCGGCCTTGGTGCAGATCGACGCCGCTGCCCCACATCGGCGGCGCGTCCAGGGGGAAGCGAGCAGGGGCGCAGGGTTCCGAAGTCCTCTGGCCTTCCAGGAGCATCACGAGCCTCCCCCCCGCCCGCCGTCTGAGAAGCCCTCCCCCCCTCCGCCCCTCGCTCGCCGCCGAGTTCAACGACTCGCGATGACTCAGGAGGGGGAGAGAAAAGCGCACAGACGCAACGAATCGTCGATTCCCAGGAACGTATGGGAAACTGTGGGAAGTGGGGGGGAAGACAAACACCCAGGACATACAGTCGGGGCCCTGAAGAAGGAACCCTTTTCGTTGGGGAGGGGCTCCGTGTTCCTTGATTGTTTCACAGCTTGCCTCAGGTGTTCCTTATGTTTTCGATCGGAAATCGAAGTTTAGCTTATGGAAAAAAGGGGCCTCGTTCCTTATTTAGGGTTCCTTAGGTCAACGCCCCGACGGTATTTGTTTGCGTGTCCCAGGGGCCCCGTGGGGAGGGCGGAGCGAGGAGCGCGGAGAGCACTGCGCCTCGCGGCCACGCCGCGCGCGGCGCCCCCCGCCCCGCGCGCACGACGGAGGCAGCCGCTCCCCCCCCTTGGGGCCTGCGCCGCCGACGACGAGCTTGGGCCGCTGTGGCGTTGAGCTCCCGCGTCTCCAGAAGAAAGGGGAGGAGGAGGAGGAGGAGGAGGAGGAGGAGAGGAGGAGCAGGAGAAGGAGGAGGAGGAGGAGGAGAAGAGGAGGCGGAGCAGGCGGAGGGGGAGGAGGAGGTAGGGGCGGAGTAGCAGGGGGAGGAGGCAGAGGAGGAGGAGGAGGGGAGAAGGAGGGGGGGAGGAGGAGGAGGAGGAGGAGGAGGAGGAGGAGGAGGAGGAGGAGGAGGAGGAGGAGGAGGAGGAGGAGGGGGTGAGGCGCAGGGCGGCTCGATGCTCGTTTGGGGGGACCTTCCTGGGGCCCACCTGACGGATCTGTTCGACTCGGGTTCCACTCAGGTTCGATTCAGGTTCGACACAGGTTCGACTCAGGTTCGACTCAGGCTCGACTCAGGTTCGACGCAGCTTCGACGCACGAGTGGAGCGAGTGGCTCCAGGAAGGTCCCCAGAATGAGCAGCTAAGGGTGGGTCCCAGAGAGCCGACTTCACGATCACGACTTCATGCAAGGAGGTGCCTCCATCTCACTTCCCCCCGGGCGCGCCGGCGCCCCAGAGGTCATAGATCCCGAGTTCTGCATCTACGGGCCGCCCGGCCTCGACGTCGGTGGGCCCCCGAGATTTTTGGCACATCGCTCGGGCGCGTGCACGCTCGTTTTCTCGGCGAGGCTCCGCGCCGGAAGATCTGGATCATCCTGGAGTTGGGCGGCGAGTACGTAGGGGGGGTGCGATCCAGGGGGGGTGAAGAAAAGAGCGGGAGGTGCACCTCTTGTGCCTCCAAAGGGGCGCCCCAGGGCCCAGAAGGGGCACCACAGGTGCACGTTTCTCCCCCCTCCCCCCCCCACCCCATCCATCGCCGCCCCGTGAATGAACGCCCAATAGAGCATCCTTGACCATCTTGAGAAACGAAACGCGCACAAAACCAGACAGTGCACGGGGAACGGGGGGAACGGACGTCCGAGCGATGGCAAGAGGGGGGCGGCACGAGCGCGGCGGCCCTGGAAGGCATGAGGGGGCGGCGACGGGGGGCGGTAGGCTCAGGGGGGGAACGCATCGACGAGGTTCGAGGTTTGAGGTTTTCGGGCGTTTTTGTTTCTTCCTGGTGCTTTTCCAGCCTCGGGATGCCTTCAGCGGCAGCGCCTCGCCGAGAGCGT